GCGAGAGTGATTTTCATTTGCATGTCAAAATAAGAACCGCCAATGATGCGCAACATCATATCTTTAGGTGGGTATATCGTAGGTATAAACGATCACCGAGTGTTCTCGCTTAGATTCAAACAAAGTAGGCTTGTAGATTGAATCTTGCTAGGTATGTATAAACATAGGACTCTTTAATGCACGAGTTTTCTGTCGCTTATAGAGGGGCGATAAAATCGCAGCGTTTTCTAATCACATTGTTTCTTATGTACGACGTCGATCACCCACTCACCACTTGTGTCGCCGCGTTCTCAAATCTTATCGCCTAGTATTAAAAAAGGGGCCCCGAGCGGCGTTTCAAAATTACGTTGATTTCAATTGCTTTGATGCAATGCGTTTATTATCACTGCTGCAGAGTTGTGTAGATGTGTGAATAAATGTGGAAAATCTAGATTCTGAAATTGTTATCGACGTAGTGAAAGAAAAAAAAACATGATTTATCATCAGAACAGTACAAACATCCCATCGTCTCTGGCGTCTCTTTTGAATGATACGATTGTATACGAAATACATAACACATGGTTCATTTTACACTGCCTTTCTAATATGATATGCACTATCAATTAATCAAATTTGAAAGCGGCACGCGACAAGAAATGTTGAAACTTGTTCCATTTTTGTTTCATCAAAAATCGCCGCGATTTTTATCGCCCTGCGACAAGTAACAAAAAATGCGTGCATAAAAGAGGCCATAGATATAGAAATGGTCGTTTGAATGTGCTGTGACACGGACTTTAAGATTTTCTTTTTTCCTTTATTTTTTCATAGATATTAGCCTCACTTTGTATTAATAACGTAAATAATGCATTTTAATGATAAGCAAGATTTATATTAAAAACATCGTTTAACTATAGTTACTAGAGATATAAATTTTGATCAGTTACGTACTGAACTTTTATTAATGTAAAATGTTTGTAAAGTTGACAGAGACATTTTTAAAATACAGGGTGTTGCTCAAAAAACTGCTGTTCTAATTTTAGTAATGTAATGTATTTAATGTAATACAAAACATTAAGGACGCATCCTTTATACGGGGTGACTCATTGAAGCTGCAAAACAATGCCCTCCGTAACCACATTTATGAGCCACTCTGTATAAAGTATGATATATCACCAAGAAGTAAATATTTAAACTATATTTCAATGGTGCAACATTTGTTCATATTTTTAACTAAGTCATAAAATAAAAACATATTACTTATTTCCGAATCACCCTGTAATTAACCAATTAGTACAGTAGACATAAAAAATAAAAACATAATACTTATTTCCGAACCACCCTGTAATTAACTAATTTCTACAGTAATTTTTTAGAAAACATTGTCAAATAATCTCTAATTTATGTTTTCTACAACAAAGACGAATAAAATAGATGTTATGAAAAATCTGGTTACAAAAAAGAGGCATTTCCGATGTTTAACAACCTGTACATCGAAAACTAGTCATAGAATCGGTTTGGGCCAATGGACACTTTTTGTTACAGCATCGAGTTCAACAACACATCAATATTTCAGAAAGTTTGACGGAAAGGCACGTTTTCCATAAGAAAGCAATTTATTTTCTTCAGTGGTCTGAATTAACTATTACCTTAAGAATTTAAACGTATTAATAATTTACTTATCTAGTTCGTTTTGGTGAACTTGGGTCCTATGATTGAACGTTTACGTTATCTGTAACGTACATGTTAGGCCGAATTTTAAAAGTAACGAGGCAAGTTCGTATGATGGAAACCTGTTAAATTAGAACATAACAGGCGGAAAATAACAGTAATGTGTTGGAAAAAGTTTTCCATCGTACGAACTTGCCTTATTACTGTTAAAACTCGGCCTAACATGTACGTTACGGATAACGTAAACGTTCAATCATACGACCCCTTATTCAGATCTTGTTCTTTAAAATGAACTATTAATAGAACTTTTCTCGTCAAACACTACATATTATTATTTTTGTAGTGTTTGATGAGAAAAGGTCTACACCAGATAAAGGTAATCTTTGAATCCCAAACACTGTTAATTTAAATGCAGGTACTGTGAAGAAGAAGAAGAGGAAACATCAATCTACGTCCTGTGCCAGTGTGAACGCATGGCTAGATTGAGGTTTCTAACAATAGGTGAAGAAAAGCCAGACATTTAACTACATGCGGGAGCCACTGTCAAGCTAATAAATGTAATAAAAAGACTAAGCTAGACGACATTCTCTAAAATAACGGAGTCCTACAATATATCTGAAAAATTCGTGGTGGACAATAACGAATAATCTACTTTGAATAAGAAAACAAAAATATTTTGGATTTTAAGAACTTCTTAAACATTTAAGATCATTTTTTTAAGCACAGAAACTTTTAAAAGAATTTCTACTAATTTTTCACCAATCAAAATATAAAAAGACCTTTTGTATGTCATCGACTTATACTAAGACATAGCACTACTTACATATTGAAGTAAAAAATAATAAGCTTATTTACGTATCAAAAAAAAAAAAATTAAATGAGAAAAACGAAAATAATTCTACTTAAGTGGAATTTTCAATTTCGTATATTAATTTTTAGCTACTAAACATTCTTGATCTTAAAAAAAAAATATTGTATTTAATGTTTGGGCAAGAATGTCGTAACATTTAAAGAAAAACTAAAGTATATATAAAGGATCAGGCGCAGCCGGCTTATGAAAAAATGGGTATGTTGTCCTGAACAATAGTGTCCATAAGCATCACTCAATTCTGTAACTAGTTTTTGAAGTTGTAAATTTGCCGTGTTATACCGTTAATTCTTCACTTAATTAATACTATTTAAATTAAGATCAATAATTACTGTCATCCAGTATACAAGATAATAGTGTGAATGAGAATAGAAGTGATTCTATTCTCATTTTTCCCGTAATTATATTTTGACAAGATGATATTGCCTTAGTGGTCAAAGGCCTGCCTATAACGGCCGTATCACTTCAGCACTCGCGAGATATACATGAGTATATGTTAAGTATAATTCAGTACTGACTCGTCTTCATTTCCCGGACCATCCAAACTCCAGCCCTCTCAATAAAGTGTACTACGATTCATATAAGGCGAGTGGGAGGAGTCGACCTCAGGACAATAGAAGATTAAGGTAAAGTCTGATTGGCAAAGCATACCGTTATTTTAACCGCAACCTATTTATATACTTTTTAAGAATAATATGTTATTGATGTTAGAAAATATTTCCAGTATAACCTATGACGGAAAATATTTTTAATTATACTTAAGCATAGGAATTTTCTTCAAATTAATGTCGTGCGAGTCAATTTCAACCAGTCTTACATGCTCTAATCCCTTAAGTTTGCAAAAATAGATAACATTTTATTAATAACAGCAAACAGGGTCTGCCAACTTTCTGACTCATCCTGTCGCCCTAATTTTGATTAATTAAACCGTGGCTATTACAAAATAATATTCATTTCAAGAATAATCCTATGTTAAAGCCAAAATAAAATTCAATTTTCAGTAATTTGTGAGTCGCCTTGTAACTAATAATAATTTACGTCATAAGTTATAATACCTATACTACGTTACATTAATAATAATTATAGACAGAGCAAAAGTTTCAGGAATGTGTAACAGACATTGAAAGAAGAATTTCTGGTGTGGAAATGGAGCAACAATTACAGACCTCCTTGCGTTTGAAAATTTTGAAAATAATTTTGTATTAAATTAAAATGCATATTTATTATAACTGCACTGTAAACATTGTGTGCTTTCTTTTATGTCGTCTGGGTTACTTGCAAGCAGTACTAGAGCTATTCCTGATTCTAACGTTCTTTTTTATGCTTATTCATCTGCTCCCTTCTCCTCTTAAGTACTTGCTCGGTATCAGGTGCACAGAGTTCTTGTCTTGTCAACTATAGACAGTTATCAGTCGTTCTTTTTTGACGTCATAGGGTTTTATACGCCAAGAACATTAAACCCTTAAAAAGAAGGCTCTCATTTTCTCCTGCTCCATAAGCTCCAAAAATCTACAAATTTTAAAAGCATTGATAGATGTCAGCATTCCATTACATATTCCAAAAATTATTCCACTGTCTATAATTAATATAATGTAGTATAGAAATATAATAAAGCATTATTTTTGGAAAATATCTGATGTTTTTTTTTTAGTTTTTACACCCTTCGGATCTCCCATGCTACACCCTAATCCGTCTATAGCCTGGCGGCACTGCAGCCTGCGGCTTATTGTACCACCATTTGAAGGTACTACTACTTTCTCATTAAACAATTCACTCCCTGATTCATCGTCATTCATTCCACGTCGTCGGTGGTTAACCGCTAGTCGGATGAGTCCCATAGTGACACGGCCCATGGTGGAACCTCCCAGCGGTCACCCATCCACGACGTGACCGGAGAAATCACTGCTTAACTGTTGCGAGTATGTGGATGCACACTAAGCTCGCAGGTAGCCTATCTGATGTTAAAATATATGGTCTTTTTATAAAATTGTCAATTCGGAACTTCAGCACCCTGTATATCAAAAACTAGTTAGAATTGAGTCGCCTGAAACATACTAAAAATTTAGGAAATTTCCCAGGTCTCATTTTTCCACAATCCGGCTGCCTAGACATTCGAAAATATTTTGTTTCGTTTATAAAATTTTAATTATTAAATAGATATGATGCTAATCTGTCAAGTTATTGAAAAGGTTTCGCAGTGCAATGTTAATTATACAAATACATTAGTAAGTTACATTCCTTTTTAACAAGCAAAACTGTATAATAGGCATTTGATAATTAGACTGTCTACTGAAAACACTAGTTAGATGTAGAGACATAAATAGATCGAACTCATATCCCTAAACATATAAATAACTATAACTATAAAAAACAAAACACAAACAAAAATCGAAAAACGAAAAAGGTGATAAAATGTGGAGAGAGCAGGCACAGTGAAAAATACATAAAGAAACAACTTAATTCAGCAAAGCAACCCAGGATATACCTCGGACTCCTCCTAAGTAGACTGAGGTCCTGCTGTGTAGCACTGTGCCTTCGTTGACTGTCTCCATTATAATCTCTGAGACTCAACACTTCCATTCGATTGGCTAGCGAGTCTATTCGGCTCAACGAGTCAAAACGACTAAAGGTGTGGTGCCTGCTTGGAGGCTCATATGAATTTAGAGAGTCCATACGTTTTAAAGTATCCCTTCGAGTATAACAGTCGAAACGATTCGGGTTGTATCTACTATAAAAATATCAACTATAGCGTTTTACTAATAAAATCGGGTTAATTTAGATTATACGGAAGTGGAATAAGAAACGATTAATAATTCATGTGCAACAGTGGCGGCTCGTGGGGTGAAGCGAGTGAAACGCCGATTACAGCTTTATAATACTCTTTTTTTAAGCTGCAATATGTACCAAGGATATTATTAAGTATATGTTCACGCCCTACGGGAATACACACCTATTAATAATCGCGGTGCATACAAACTGTTATTTCAGTGTAACGGTATATCTGATACCGTTATTTTTCTCCCATCTCTAGTCGGTGTCACGATTTGTGTTCTGTCAACCGATGTGCATTTTGACATTGTCATTTGAAATTTTAAGGGAAAAGTCTTAACATTGAATTTCTGAGTTATCTACTATTACTTAATTTCTTTTTGATACTCCAAAACCATCTGATAAATTATGGTAAGCTTTAATATTAATATTTTTGTGTTTAATGTTTTTCATACTATAATTACACTGAGATTTATTTGTACACAATTCAGTTTTTTATGGTATATCACGTTTTCAGCTAATTAAAAATAACTTTATTTTTTAATTTAATAGTTGAATCGTTTTATCTCGTCCTTCCTATTTTCCCTTCCTTTCTTTACTGGTTCGAAATCTATTTTTGTATGTTTTAAACAGATGGTATGCCGCTGGATTTGATGTGACCTACTGACCGGATGTCGTGATATAGACGAGTTTCTTACCTGATTTTTTCCAAAGGCTGAATGTCAAAGAAAGATATATTATGAAAATTCATTCTTAAGCGAGTTTTGAAACTTCCTTCCAACCTTAAAGAAAGTCAGATAATTTGAGATAAGTTTTAAATGATCTATTTTGTAACTGAAATGTGTTTATTGTCATATCTAAAGAATATGGAGTAACTCTAATAATTAGTAATGTTTCCACAATTTTTAAAACGTCAATGGGGGACCGGGAAGCAATTAAAGAGGTAAAAATTTATACAATGTAACTTGCAGTACAAAAAGGTGGCTGCGGCAACATTATGCCGCCGCCTTGATGAGCTGCAAGATACAATAGCACTCATCCAGGGACCCTGGATAATAAAAACCAAAATTTTAGGTTTAAAAAATCTAAATGGTTAAATTTTTAGCTTTCCCAGAAACACACAACCTAGGACAACCATTTACATTCCTAGAAAATATAGAGCCCACCCAATGGCATACCTTTCCACCTTCGATTTATGTGCGGTCAGGATAGAATATGCCATCAAGAGGGAAAAGAAAACGTTGCTCATCACTTCAGTTGAGGCATTAAGGATAACAACGCTAGAGGCAAGACACTTTATCATTATATAATTACCGAAAATTTTTGAATTTTAAATAAATGTATTACACCAACATTTTTAAACTCTCGCAGTGAAACACTAATAGATATATCACTTTATTCACAACTGGTATCTATAAATAAATTCTAAAGTGGCAAGTATCTAATGACATTTCGATATCAGACCACCGCGGTTTAACATTCAAAATAAACTTGATGTTGCCGACCTCCACGTAATCTCGGAACCCTGGGAAGATGGGACAGGGTAACCTATGCTCACCTTGTCCAAGAAGCTCTGATGGAGGTGGAGGCCGAAACTCCAAACAGTGACAATGCTTTGGAAAGATACTCGAACACTATCCAAAGCACAATAAACAATTCTTACAAGAAATCTTGTCCCCCGAAGCTGGTCCAGACGACTACCGCATGGTGATGTCACGAGTGAATCATCTTAAGAAAATGGCTAGGAAATCCTTTAATAGGACAAGAACCACAAAATTCAAAGAGGACTGGGACAATTACAAATCTTACCTCGGAGAATACAAAAAAATCATTAGACAAAAACAGAGAGATGCATGTTGATCCTACTGCAAAGAAATCGAAGATGGTCCATCTAACAAAAAAAATGATGAAAATGGAACTAAAACCTCCGAGCTCCTAAACATAAAATTAAACTTTGCAACAGAGGTGAAGTACCTAGGTCTCTCACCTTTGATAGCAAGTTACATGGAATTGACACAAAAAACAGTAAAAAAATAATACACTGCTTATGAACAATGCCCTCGAACCGTAGGCCGCACCTGGGGTCTCTCCCCAGAGTCATCACATGGACTTACACGGCCATCATAAGACCTATGCTAACATACAGCGCAATTGTCTAGGTACCGAAAAATGACAGCTATCCGTAAACTAGAACAAATTCAAAGAACAGCATATCTCAACATCTCACTTCTCTTGGTATTTATATCGAGAAGATTGCTTTGATGACGATGACACGCCTCTTCATAGTTGGAATAGAACCTGATGTAGGATCTGTGAGGGAGACGTCGCTTTTGGCAGGAGCCGCTCGATACGCTTCCACTGCTTTAAGTGAACATGGACTCCATCTCACCGAGATATATCTTCCATAAGTCATATAAAGTTATAACAGAACTAATGGCAAACTGGAAGTGGCAGGTTCAATTCATATCTACACCGGTTCTAAAACAAAACTCCAAAATCTTTAAACCTAAACATAAATTGGGCTGTGACCAATAGTGCTAGTGTAGTTCAAACGGAGTTCACAGGGATTTTCATTAGATTAGATTTAATTAGGACTGTGGGCCATGTGGCCTCCCCCATCTCGACCTTTTCAGATCTATTGTGGATATCCTTTAATCGTTGTTTAGAGTACCTTGTCTAATTCGATCTTTTGAAGCAGACGTAGTTCTCCGGTATAGCTAGTTGCCTTTGGTTTTTCTTCTCCAAGTGTAAGGAATCTCAGTTTTGCTAGACCTTCGCAATAGCACAATACATGTTCTGCAATTTCCTCCTCTTCCTTACAGAATCGGGACAAGGTCTCTTATGTCAGAGCGATATTTTTTTTTTGGTGTCATCGGCTTCAACTGCTAAAGTTATTTCGCCTCGTGTTCTGTGTAGGCTTTGTTACTGTTTCCCAGCGCCACTTTTGGAACAGCACTATACACATGTTTGTTAAGCCTACAATGTCCTGTTAATAGACCTACTAGTACTCTAGTATTTTTCCTATTAAGGCTTAGTTGATGCTCAGTGAGTTTAGGCGATGGTCCTTTTAAGAACTCTTGGCTGGTCTCTGTCCTGGAGAGTTTTTCCACCATTCCTGAGATTTTTGCTTTGCGCATGTTCTAATAGTTGTCAGAAGGGTTCTGGGCCAATAAGAGCCTTTGAAGCTCCTTCTCGGGCTAGTAAATCAGCCTCTTAGTTGCCCTTATGTCCTCTGTGGCCTGGTACCCAGGCCAAGGTTAGTCTGTTTTGACTACCTAGCTCTGTAAGGGGTTCCAAACAGTCCCGCATAAGCTTTGAGTGTACCTGCATAGAAATTAATGCTTTTAACGTCACTTGACTGTCTGAGTATATGACAATGGTAAGACAGAAGGTAAATACCTCTTTTGCGCAGTGATGTATTGCTGCTATTTCTGCCTGGAACACTGTCGCAAATTTACCTAAGCTCAGTGAGATTCTTGTCTTTGGCTTGAGAATTCTCATAGCAGCAAAAAAAATCACCAGAAACAATATCACTGGAAGGAACATGCTCATCTGTACGGATAGCAGACAAGCGAGATTTAACACCGGCCGATATAAGAGAAGCACCACTTGGCGACGTTGTCAACTATATTAAAGGTTGGCTCACGAGCCAGGAGGTACCTATCTACTGGAGGATGCACAATGGGCCTAGTGAGGCCTAAGTGCCGTGGGTTAAAACACAGTTGTGTTAAAATTAAAGTAAACGTTCAATCATAGGACCACTTATTTCGTATGAAGTGTTAATTTCAAACATCCACTATTTTCGTCAATCTGTGTCCTGCTAGATTTTCAACCTGTAACTTCACACTTAGTGATAAAGTGATAAAACTATTAAGGGACTTAAAGACTCTAAATCGCACAAAAGGCTTTAAAAATTACATTAAGTATATTTACATTCTTAGTGTCAGTTATTATCTGTTCTGTCTTTTTCTGGTTGCAACTATTATTGTAACTGAAAGTAATTTACGGTGTGACAAAGGTGTAAAACAGGAATCATAATAGTAATACCCGATTCATTCTTAAATGCGTTCTCGCACCTCATATAAACAAGCTTGCACAAAGCATCCCCACCCCATTTAGCAGCCGTCGCGCTCTTTCTAATGCAGCATCTGTTGCGACAGCTTTGCCTGCCTAATATAAAGTAGTCTAGTAGTTTATCATCGTTGATATGTTTCAAATATTCTAGGGTAAAAAATACTTTAATGCTAAAAAGTCGTGTCACTCTCGTCATTTCTAAAAAGTATATTTTTTTAGCGTGTCTTATTCTAGAACCCACGAGCCGCCACTAATGTGAAATTCTTTTTAAGTTAGTAAAATGTGGTGTAAATCGATCATTTAGTTACCTTGACGATGATTCCGGGAACACAGATGTGGATGGAATGTTGAACGAATACGGATTACGTCTAGAAACTGGCGGCGAATAATGAGAGAGTGATTTGGAAGAAATATCGGTAGGATTGTTACGAATACTGCATTCGGAATTGGCGTGTTTGCGGAAACTGTACCTTGTTGATTGTAGCTCCTGCTTGCGCCTCAACATATCTTCGCTATGTCTCCTCATCTGTTAAAAAAAAAATCCGTAAAAGGTAAGTTGAAATATTTAGTGTTAAAGACAATAAATCCATTTTATCTTTTGTAAAACACAAACATCTAGTTAATATTTAAATAACTCCCCCAGAACTATTTTCGCATCGTTCTTTTTAGATTTTCGTTTTTCAACTGGAAATAATAATTAAAATATATCTATGTCTTTATTTGAAAGCTAGGACTATTGCTCAAAATTGCAGGTTTAAAGCTCACATTGCCTTCTTTGTGGTGACTTACATTAAAATAATGAAAAAGCGTGAATGTACTATAAAACAATTATTGAACCGTGTAATGTTCTTACTAGGTAGAATGGATATGAAATATATTCATTCAGTTGATCACAATGGCTTATTTTTCGTTTTTTAGTTTGTGCATAAAATAGCTAATATCTATGTGGGTATACCATTTGCAGATTCAACTGTCAATAGGTTAATATGACAGTACAGACTGTCAATTAGTCTGGTTTTGACAATATGCCAAAGTGAACATCTCCTGTGATTTTGTAATCAATAGAAATAATTGAATTGACAGCAGTGATCAAGTATTTTTATTTGAAAGGCTTAACACCCACCGAAATCAAAGCAGAGCTGGATTCAACACTATGGGAATCGTTTTTGAGTATTAAAAACTGAAATGCCAAAAAGCATGGTCGTCCGAGCACAAATGATGAACCCCGTAGTGGGCATATAAAAACTGACGTTCCTCTCTTGACAACAATATCTCACCAGGCATTACATCAACAGAAAAAAGCAGGGAAAAAATATTTTTATCTCTACCTTTGATTATGCTTACTAAGGAGAAAATCATTCTGGTATTAACCAAAGTAGTTTTTTTAAGAGAGAAACAACCACTCGTATTATTGTGACACATGGCTTTGAATTTTTATTTTATTTTAAATGAATTAATATTGAAAATAAGTAATTAAATTCAGAATAAAAATACCCCCACCAACAACAATACTGCTATGCAGCCTAGAGATAACATCCGCGGTTTATCTACGATAGTTGGGACTTTAACGTTTTTGGATTGTGTTATATCTCCGAAAGTCAGATAAGACCAAGGTATTAGTTTATTTACAAAATAAAAGTGAGGCTAGGTTATGTTCCTTTGATAGTGTAATTGATTGGGAAACTCTTAGAAATGTTGCTTTTAAAAAAGGTAGGACCTTTGAAATATTAAAAGAACTCGAAAACTTTATAAAACATGTTCAGAATAAAAAGTTTACCTGTTCTTGTCTATGAACACTTAACTGATCCTCCACCAATCTCTCCTCCTGCATTCTGAGCAACTGTTGCTCCAACCTCTTGTTCTCCAAATCCCTTTCTCGCCTCTCCTGTTCCTCCCGCATTTGTTGCATCATTCTCTTTTCTTCAATCTGAAGTCGCAATTCACGCTGATAAGCGTCGCGTTTCATCCGCTCCTAAATAACAGCACCACTAAATTTTACCTTTTTAAAATTATGAGGGATCGACTTACGATTATGACTTACCCGTTCGAGTTCGTCCGCTCTGGATTCGCGATAACCGAAGCCGTCCGTGAAGCTGGAACTGTAAAGGTCTGACATCAATCTTTCTGTAAACAAATATAAAACGGTTGGTAAATACACGTTCAGTATATTTATTTTTATTTTTAAGTAATGGTTTATGTTACCTAGATGTATCAAACAATCTCAAATCATTATTTTGAAATCAGATTAGCACTTTTTTTATGCAAACGGTAGCACCATCCAATTGTCTTAATTTTTGTATCTTAATTCCATAATGAATTCTTTATCTTTTTCAGTTATAAGCAGGTATGTTTAGATTTAGCCCAGAACACTACCAACCACTTGAGTATATTGTATTCCCCTGCTTTCCTCTTATTTGGGCACTAACTTTGAATAGCCCTGTGCCTTTGGTTACTAGGTTCTCCACCACGTGCTCCTGGGGCGTTCTTGCCGGTTCTACAACGAAAAAGGCGATTCGCCGCCTAGCAAAAGCTTCACATTCGAAAATAAAATGGTATGCGGTTTCTTCCCATTACAAGGTGTTTCAGCAAGCAGTGTTCCGTTAGTAATCCCAAAATGGTGGAATATCTGGGCCCTTGCGTGCTTTTGTATCTCAGCAGCCATGAGTAGGTTTGGTTCCCTTAGTTTACTGATTATGTGTCCTTTTATCTGTTGCCAGCGAGTTTGGTGTTAAGTGATTATCCACTTCTTCACTGTTTGTGGAACAGATATTTTGCTTATCCCAAATACAGTTTCAGATCTTGTGACTGGTAGTTCCGATCTCCCTTTGGCGAGTTCATCAACCTTTTCTTTTCCTTAGATACCTTTATGCCCTGTGGGTTTCCAGATTATTAAGTATTCCATGGCAGTTTCAGACCAGTTTTGATTCAATTCTGTTTGAACCTGAAAGTGCCTTTAAAGCTGCTTGGTTGTCTGGAAAAATTAGGGTGGTTTGTTTCTTGTACTCCCTTCTTAATTTTCTCATAAACACAACACGATTGCATGTATTTCAACCTGACATACACTGATGTGTTTTCCCAGTGAGACAGTGATATGTATGCGAGAGTCAGTTCTCTTGAAAGTATTTCTGTACCTCCTGATTTACCTCGTTCCAATTGACCTGGATGAGTCTGTTGAAGGTTAGGCGAGGTGTCATGTGATCTGATCCCATGTTTAATATAGGACATTTACTTCATGTGTTATTCTAGCTTTGTCCCAACATCTCACAAAACCGTAATATTACGGTCATCGTCATGCGCAGTAAATAAAAACCTATCAATAAAGCCCAAAGTCGAACGGATTTTATGTACTGCGCATGACGATGACCGTAATATTACGGTTTTGTGAGATGTTGGGACAAAGCTATAGATATGTTTTATATTGCCGACTATAGCTAGTGGACTATTTTCTGGTTTAATCCCCATATTTTTGCAAATGTCCGTCTCCCTACAATGAGAGACATTTTACATTTGTTGGTTACTTTTTGTAATGACTTATAACTAAATAATACATCTGAAATCATGTTTTATTTGAACAATCTAGTCGGGTGAAATTTCTTGGAATAAAAATGGATACATTATTTTTTGGAAACCCCACATAGATTACTTCAATAACAAATTTGCTAAAACAGTTTGTGCCTTAAAAAAATAAATAATATTGTTAGTAAAGAAGCAGACATTAACAGCTTATCACAGGCTTTCCATTCATGTTTAGTATATGCGCTAGTTCAGTGATGATGTAGTTATGGTTCCACTGACAATTAAACTGACAGTAGATTTTTGAGTACGTTTTGTTCGTTTTGTTTACCTAAATTTTATCGTTTCTTCAATTTTATAAATATATTCCTAAAGTAAGTAGATAACATGCATCAAATATACAATCGTTTAGATGCCAATTACATACCTTTAAACTATTTTTTATGACCGATAAAAAATATTTAGAAATTAACTAAAAATAGTAAAAACGTATACGTCAAATTTATTGACGTTTTTGTTAAAAGTATGGTTAGAATTAAACGTCAGTGAAACCAAAATGACATCACACCGAACTAGCGCATTGTTGGAACTAAATTTGATGAATACTTCCAAACAACCTTTAAAAAAATTTTAAAATTATTTATATGCATACAGGGTGTCCCAGACTAATTATGCAGACTATATCTCATAAAGGAATAAATATATTTGATTATACCTAAAGTGACCCCTAACTTCTTTATTATAAATGGAACACCCTGAATATTTTTAAATTTTTATAATCCCCTTGACGACCTGATTTCAACGATGTATCACACTTGTATACAGAGTGTCCCCAGACTAATTATTCCAGGCTACGTCTCATAAAGATATTCGAGTGAGACGAAAACTAATCCATGCCATATCAGTTTAATACGCCGTAAAAACAATCATCCTCTAAATATTTACTCATTAGTGACAACCCTCGCCCTTAAAATTTTAAATAGTATAATATATACAGAGTTGGCCACTCAAACCAGTCCACTCTGTTATTTGGCAGTAACCATTGGATTTTAAGAAAATGCAGGTCGATTTTTATTCCAAAGGGGGACACATTTTTACAATACAGACACCCGTCATGTGTCAACTCTCTCCCTTCCACTTCTTCAACCCCTTAATTTTAAATAGGGAATATACCTTGTGTGGCACATCATTAGAAAGGTAAGGAGTAAGAGCTGCTATATTTGACAGTAAATTGAGTCAAAAATAAATTTAATGGAGGGTTACACCTCCCTGGCCCTAAGGGCCCGCGCGAAAAACCCGCCGCTCGGGTTCGGTAGTGTGACATATTTTATTTATTATTTGACATGTAAATATATTTCTTTAATGTAAATAAAAGTTTTTTAAAGTAAAGTAAAGTAAAGAAAGGTATTACAATGGACTTGATATTCATCATTAACGTCCTAATTTTTTTATAAATAAATGCCTATGCTGCTTACCTCTAGGACTACCTGTCTTTCTATTTGACAAAATGCTTTTCGGTTTGTCCATTTCACTCTTTAATAAGGCATTTTGAGCACTAGTTAATCTCTGGTCTACTCTAAATGGCGCTAAATTTCGATTATTTTTCATATAATAATCCTCGCTAAGCGCACAAGGACTCAGCTCCTTCTCTTGAATTCTTTGACCTTGCAAGTCATACTGAAGCTAAAACAAAAAGAGCATTTGACGTAACATGCAATTTCGTTTGATTTTCATTTTGCTATACTAAATTAGAACAAATTAACAAATACATCTACCCCAAAAATTATTATAAACAGGATTAAAGCAACTGGAGTAGGAGTGTATGGACCTAGAACCCAGGCGTAGTTACAATGAGGGTAAAAGGGTAATTATCCCCCCCGAGCTGCTCTAAGAAATACTGAAATTTATTAAATTGTAACCTTAAGATTTTACGAGAAAGCAAACAACCAAGATGGCGACGACGAATAAAATTAAAATCTTCCCATATACGCGCCTGCTAGAACCAAGTACTCAAGTTTGGGTAAAATGTTACAGTCGAAAATTCAATCCATTGAGAAATGTATCCAGTTCAACATCAATAAGAACTATGGCAGACAGGAGGAGATTATCATGTTCGACAACCATCATAGTAATTAACTTTTATGTAATCAGCTCTAAAATGGATTGGAGGTCTTCAAATCTTGCGAAGACGTTGAGACTATTCCTTTGCTGTGACTTGGCGACAGAAGTGGGCACAATAGTTAATTAAGCTTGTAGTGTTTCGGATATCTACTATACGTATAATACTAGGGATGCCACATGTACGGGGTTTGAACAATTTGTAGGGTGTCCGGTCGCATGATGAAAATGTCCGGAAATATCTGAATAACTTTAGAAAAGACTCAGAAGAATATGGTTTATTAACAATACAGACTTTTTTAAAGCTCGACAGAAGGACCTGGTGTATAAAATTATAAGCTGAGAACCTTTTTTTTAGAGCCAGGTTTATAAAATTAAAAGCTGAGGATTTTTTTTTAGAAATTTCACAAAGGTCCGGGTTTTTGATAAATGAAAAGATGGCAACCCTATACGTATAAAATAATACATAAGTTGTTGGTATGTTTGATTTTAGATCAAATGTATTCCTATAAAGAAGATAAGCAAAAATATAGGCCTCAATATGAATTACACAAAAATTCAGACAGGAGATAATATTAAATACTAAATAGGAAATAATAATAAACAGCATAACTAAGAAGAAGGTTTATACTTTAATTAGCAACTTTCGGAAATAGAAAATATTCACAGTATTTTAAATACAAAATGTCCTACCACTTTTTACCTAAGGTCCACAAATATGATATGTAAAGATCAGATTAATAAAATCAAAGAAAAAGTAAAAATATGTCTAAGATTTGCGCATAGAAAAAACGAACGGAATTTTACAAAACACAATTGTCGACAAAAATATGAAAGATAGACTAAACGTGCAATGTAGAACCTGCGGAAACAAGTGAGACAGAGATGAGATATCAAATGAATTTTTAAACATAGAGAAACTCGGACTAAATAGAGATATAATATATTAAAAATGTTTAGTAACATTTTAAACCAATTTAGAAATAGTTTTAGAGCAATTGAAATATATAAAAATAAGCGTTTCACCAATATTTTCTTTTACCTGTTCAAAAAATTATGAAAAACTTGCTAATATACTTACATTAATGAAAAAAGTAATGTTATTATCGGAGACAGGTCAAAATAATATATTTTCATTAACACTTGTTAGTAGTCTAGACTAAAATGATCCGAATAATTTTAGTATGGTATACTCCTACACTAACCATCTAAGTGCTAATAATACATTTTAACGAAGTGACTTAAGTGTTTTTTACACTAGTGAGAAGTTTGTAAGCATTAATAACTTAAATAATAAATAAACATATCCAAAACCAATATAATTAAATAAGCCAGAAGCCCCTTTGCTGTGTAAATTAGCTGTCATAATTATATACAAATATTAGTTGTATTAGTTTTTATCCTTTGATGATATGGGTTAAATTTATTTACAGGTGACAGTTCTGCATGCTATTTTTTACTTACTAACTGAGTTTTAATATTCTGAATATCGGTTTGCACGCTTTTTTCAAATTTATCTACCGTTGATGGATGCGAATTTAATCTTTTAACTGTGGGTTTATTTCTATCTCTATCGTGATTAGAATTAATTTTCGTTGACAATTCTTTTAAACTGTCTTGTTGCTGCAATAACACAAAAAAATAATCAGACTAAGCAAGCAGAGTTAAAAATAAAAATTAGTCATGATCACATTGATATAAAACAATAAATTCGATACGCTTTGTTGGATTTTTACGCTTCAATTTAAATAATTCAATTATGTTTTAAATAGGTAGGTAACATACAGGGTATCGCGTTTTTAGATAAAATCTTTCAACAATTTATACTTCTATGGGGATACAACAAAAAGTATTTAAAAAATATATCCCTACTAGTTTTTTTACTGGTTATAGGGTATCGCATTTTTATGTTACACTTTTTATTCTATATACAGTTATAGCTACGAGTTCTTTTACTGGTTGAAATTAATTAATTTATTTGTGGGACACCCTTATATAACAAATTATTTTGTTCAAGAGTCAAAGCAGGGCAAGCTTATCCCAAAAACACAATAAGCCAATAGGCTTCAGTGTTATTCGGAGACACATAGTCAGACGAGCCCAGGAGAGAAAAAAAAAACACTCATGTACCAAATCTTTTCGGTTTTAGTATGAAGCCTTAGTTTTAGGTTCTTTTAAAGTAACTGTTACCACACCGATACTATTTATTGGGACTGTAGATATCCAAAGTCAAAATAACATTTGGGTAGTTACCGGAACTGGGCAGTATCATTTTATTGTTACTCTGTAGTGATAAAAACTACATATACCAGTGAATCAGTTATTGCCACCCACCAGTGCTACTAATATACCTAAATAAAGTAATTAGACACATAGAGAGGCAAAAAGGTCCCAGAATAGTAAAAGTAAAATTTGGGTGGTTACTGAAACTGGGCAGTATCATTTTAGTGTTAGTCTATAATGGCAAAAACTATATAGTACCACTGAATTAGTTACTGCCACCCATCAATGTCACTAATATGTCAAAAAGATCCCGTGACCATCACTTGGAACTTTAAAGTATAGTAGTATTTTAGTGGCAACATGGGTATATATTTTTTCTAATTTTAATATTTAGCAGAGCGGGACAACGCTATTTATGAAACCAGTTACAAAATGTCTTATTTTATGTAACGAGTGAATATTTAAGGGACACAACAAACGAGTTAATTAAAAAGGCATTTCGTAACGTGTTACTTACAATATTTTTTTCTAATTTTGACTAGATTATTTATGAAATTGTGTTTTGATAAAAAACAGTGAACTGTATATTTAAAATGGAATGCCAATATCGCCGGGTGCGTGTGATAAAAATAGTCCTCTAACGCTGCTGAAAATGTAGCAAAAACTTCATGAAAACACTGTACTTTTGACATCTGGGGTACTCGGACACTTGTGCATTATTGATGTAATCTCATAATTTAACAGTACTGGTTTTTGCAATTTTGAGTGTGATTTAGTTAAGGTTATTCCTTATTCTATAATTTCTTTTGTTTGGTTTTGATCTTTGGCGTCTTTAGAGTATCTGTTTTAATAGTTTTAGTTTTTAATTTGAAATTATTTACTTTATCAGGAAGTACATTTTGAATATTTGAAAAATAAATTAAATTGGTCGTGTTCTTGTTGATTAAGGACAGATCTTTTCACCTCTGAGTAAAGTTACATGTAGGTTTACTTGACAGATTAATGAACAATAGCCCTATAGTTTAATCAACAAGTAGTTACTCTCAACTTTACTCAGAAGTTAAAAGATTGGCCCTAAATCGCATTGTAAATTTTGAAAAATAAATTAAATTCATTGTGTAACTTGTTTAGAAATAGAGAAATTTTAGACCATGAAACTTTAATCTGTATTTATTATGGTCAAGTAGCATCTCGATTGAGATACGGGATTTGGTATATGTGGAAACTCTTAAAGTTCTAAAATATGATTCTTGTCGGCATGTCGGCCAATATGTGCAGAAATCGGTATTTTGCCTCTAGCTTCATTATATGTTCTAGAAATTTGTTTATATGTTTTTAAAAACTTAAATTAAATTTAACTAAAAGGCATTTCAATGTATAGGACCCATTTTATAAAATAAACTTCCGGACTTCATAAAAAACTGTAAAATGATATTTTATTTAAGAATAAGGTCAAAAAGTTTTTATATATATATATATATATATTCTGTAGAGGATTTTTAAAATTTTAAATATTGTTTATAATTACTAGTATATGTATACAGGGTGTCCGGGAAAATGTGGGAGGTCTCTCGGATTCAGATAGAACATTAAACAATAAGATGGCAAGTTCCCATAATTTTTTTTCTTAGCGGCCCTCCCTACGGAGATGCGGCCTCCAAAAGGACGCCACTGGAAATCAATTTTTCTTGAATAACTTTCAAACTACGTAATATAATTTAATGAAAATTTAATATGATAAACAGTAGCAGGAACTTTTTAAAATACTGCCCTTAAAACATAATTAGCTTGTTTAGTTTACCAGGGATGGACTAGGTTGTACATTTTAATGCTTACATTTTTAACACCCTGTATGATAAGTAGTTAAAAAAATAAATTTCGATACCTTGAACATTAAGCTAAAGAAAAGGTACTCTTCTTTATTGTCGATAAAATGAACCGTTTTCGAGAAAAAAAAAATAAAAGAATTAAAGTTTTATTTTTATTAAAAAGAAACCATGATTTCCATTTTTTTTTTGTCTGCAGCAAAGTGTGATATGAAAGTCATTGAAATAGAACTGTATTAAAAACGCACTGTTTTTACAAACGTTACTATGGTACCTACGAAATAAATAAATAAATTAATAAATGAATAATTGCATTGACGTGTGCATTTTAAATCTTGTTGACACGTTGATCTTTTAGTACTCCGATATTAATTTATTAAATTTTGAATATCTTGGTAAATTTAATTCGATAATGGGATATACACATTTAGTGAGTATGCACTATGCAGATATGCATCTTATGTACGATCTTGCATCTTGCAATACTTATGAAGCAAGAAGGTTGTATGAAGAAAGATATCCTAATCGCAATATTCCAAATGAGAAAACATTTCAGCGACTTGACCAAGGACTAAAAGAGACTGGTGGGCGATTCCCAGTTAATAAGGTAACATTATTGACTTTCTTTAATAATTTTTAGGAAGTTTTGGGTAAACAAGTACTGATGCTGGTGTGACAAGAACAGTACGTACGGTGCAATTGGAGGAAAATATTTTGGATACTGTAGCTGATACTCCTTCAATAAGCACTCGAAGATTAGCCGCGCAGCTTCAGGTGTCAAAAACGACAATTGCTGAAGTACTTAAAGAACAGTTGTTATACCCTTATCATCTGCAAAAAGTGCATCAACTACTTCGTGCAGATTTTCTTCGAAGAATCCAGTTCGCAAACTGGCTGTTAAATCAGCAACGAATAAACATAAAATTCATTAGCACTATTTTTTTTACCGATGAAGCAGTGTTTACCAAAAATGGTATTGTAAATTTACATAACTCGCATGTATGGGCTGATGAAAACCCTCATGCCACTGTTGTTCGTCATTATCAACATCAGTTCCAATCAATTAATGTTTGGGCAGGAATAATCGGCAATTTTTTGAATGGACCATGCGTATTGCCGCCACGATTGAATGGTGAACTTTATTTACAGTTCCTTCACAACGCTTTTCTGGATTCAATAGAGCATTTGCCACTTGAAACCCGCCGAATCATGTTAGCCCAATCGGATTAGGTGAAGAACAGGCTTGAGATTCTGAAAAATTCGAAGCAGCAATTTTCCTTCGGAATTCGTTGGAGGGGGTCTGTGGTAGTCTAAATTCAAAAAGTTGGGATTCCAAAGTTGTCGTTACCTCCGTCAGCTTAATTTAAAGGGTTATTTTTTGTATCTTGAATAACTCATTTATTTTCAATTTTACACGGAAAATAGTTTTTACAAAAGTTATTTAAAATTAAATTTCCTACAATTCTGCTTTTTTTTTGTACGATCGATTTTTTTCGATTTATACCTGAAAAGAGGGGTGAATTTTTGGTTATAGAATAACTCGTTTATTTTCAATTTTACGAGAAAAATTGTTATAAACAAAGTTGTTTAAAATTAAATTTCCTACAATTCTGTTTTGTTTGTACGCTCGATTTTTTTGTATTTATCCCTGAGAAGAGTGGGGGTAAACTCTTATCATTGTATTATCACGTTTCTTTTTAATTCCAGGTATCAGCAAAAAAAAAACAGAAAAAATAATGGTACAATATCAATAATAAACGTGACAATACAATACTTAGGTTCACCCCCACTCTTCTCAGGGATAAATACAAAAAATCGATCGTACAAAAAAAACAATTGTAGGAAATTTAATTTTAAACAACTTTGTTTATAACAATTTTTCTCGTAAAATTAAAAATAAACGAGTTATTCTATAACCAAAAATTCACCCCCTCTTTTCGGATATAAATCGAAAAAAATCGATCGTACAAAAAAAAAGCAGAATTGTAGGAAATTTAATTTTAAACAACTTTGTTTATAACAATTTTTCTCGTAAAATTGAAAATAAACGAGTTATTCTATAACCAAAAATTCACCCCCTCTTTTCGGGTATAAATCGAAAAAAATCGATCGTACAAAAAAAGCAGAATTGTAGGAAATTTAATTTTAAATAACTTTTGTAAAAACTATTTTCCGTGTAAAATTGAAAATACATGAGTTATTCAAGTTACAAAAAATAACCCTTTAAATCAAGATGGCGGAGGTAACGACAACTTTGGAATCCCAACTTTTTCAATTTAGACTACCAGAGACCCCCCTCCAACGAATTCCGAAGGAAAATTGCTGCTTCGAATTTTTCAGAATCTAAAATACTAATCCGATTGGGCTATGTATTTTATGCATGATGGAGCCCCACCTCACTTTAGCGTCGCTGTACGGGACCACCTGAATAACGTCTATCGAAACCGTTGGATAGGCAGAGGAGGTCCAATTGCCTGGCCTCCTCGGTCTCCCGACCAAACGCCAATGGATTTTTACCTGTGGAGTCATCTCAAAACCTTAGTGTATTCCTCTCCGGTTGATACTAGGAAGGAA